GAGTCCCAGATTATGTGATTATGCTAGAGACCCACTCTGTACATCGGGGAGACCGCACTGCTGCTTCGGTAAAAGGAGGCGGTGTGTGTGTGTTTATCAGTAACTCGTGGTGTGGAGATGTACAGACTGTTTATAAGCACTGTTCGCCAGATGTGGAGTTTTTATTGCTGAAATGCCGGCCCTATTATCCCAGCAAGAGAGCATAGTGCAATGTTTCTAGCTGCTGTGTATGTTAGCCCAACAGGGACAACATCCCTGGGAGGGCTCTCAGGGCATGTGCCGGTGAGCTGGCTGATGTTCTCACCACCATCTTCAATCTCTCCCTCAGCCAGAGCATCATTCCCACCTGCTTTAAGACCACAACTATCGTCCATCTTCCCAAGAAGAGCCTGGTCACCTGCCTGAACGACTACAGGACAGTGGCACTCACCCCAATCATTATGAAGTGTTTTGAGAGAGTGGTGCTGGCCCGCATTCAGAGCAGTATACCGGGCACCCTGGACCCCCTGCAGTATGCCTACCGGCTAGGGCTGTAGCGATTATTCGACTTAATCGATCATGATAATTAGTCGATTTGCATATTAATCGTCGACTTGTCATATGTAGGAAACAAAAAAAAAAATTTGTAAGACAAGTTTCAGTTTCACACTCCAGAGCAGATGGTGGCGGTAATGCCAATCGCCCTTTAAAAGGACGCAGAAGAAGATAAGTAGGAAGTTGGCAGTAACACAAGCATGGATACACATAGCACTAGCAGCATGGCGTGTCCGGGGAACGCGAAAATACCGCAACTGCGGTCACCAAAGGTTTGGCAGTATTTTAAGCACATACCAAATGACATGGTGCTCTGCCAGCTCTGCAAAGCAGAAATTGCGTTTCACAACAGCACCAGCACCATGCAGGAGCATTTGAAAAGGAAACATCCCGGGGCAGTTTCTCAGGACAACAGCGGAAGCAAGATGGCACCGTAAGTTCTGTTTACTTTTCATATTGTTCCTACCAAATGTAACAGTATTAGCTTTATACGGTACAAAGAATGTGTTCTCGTTGGTAATTCTTTTTCTTTTGTTAAACATTTCTTCTGCCTGCAGCACTGCTGCTGTTAAACTACTGTCGGGAGGGCGAGAGTGAATATGCGGGAATACGATGTTTGTACAAACGCAGATACAAATGAAATAGTCCACAGTAACATTGCAATTTGTTAAATCTCTATTACACATATACACATTTTGTAATTATGCCACTTTTTATCCCGTTGTCTGTTTCAGGACCCCGCGACAAAGCACCGTAGATGACTTTTTCCACAAAAGGAGCATGAATCCATGCACACCACAGATGTCTGCTGAGCTTTCTAATGCTTCATCAAAAAAATCACACTCACTACTGATGCTTGGACAAGTATTGCCACTGAGGCATATTTGGGAGTCACATGTCACTCTCCAATGGTGGGAGGACAATGCAGCAAGTTCCCCAACCCCACACATCTGGCCAAATCATACCTCGCTGTCCCTGCTATATCTACTCCATTTGAACGCATTTTTTCAGATGCTGGGAACATTGTGACAAAAAACAAAACAAAAGAGCAAGCCTGACCCCAGAGCATGTGGCCATGCTCACCTTCCTCCATAGTAATGCCTAGGTGGAGTAGTAAAGGAGGAAGTAAATAAGAGAAAACAAGAGAAAGATGATATAGAGAAGGCAAGAAGGAGGAAAGAAATGAAAGAGGGAGTGGAGAGAAAGAAGTGGACATTATGTTCTGTGCTTGGATGTGTTACTGACAGTTCAGTTGATTAACTTGTTTG